AACAGTTAATGAAATCAGGATACAAATGCTGCAGTTGATCTCCATATATATATATATGGAGATCAACTGCAGCATTTGTATCCTGATTTCATTAACTGTTTAAGTACATGCATGCATATGTACAAACATGTTTTACAATTTTTATCCAAACTTCAAATAGAACAATAAATAATATTGCATGTGTAACATCTCATATTGCATTTACCCAAATTTAGAAGTATTTAATTTCTGGTGAGAGTGTCTAAGAGGTTGTCTTGAGTCAGGAATGCTTGACCAGACCCTCTTGCTCCAACACTAATGTTCTATTTACTTACTTAAATATTAGCTCAAGCTGTTAGCGTGTCAGAACATGCCAGCTATTGAAAGGAAAAAACCCTGCTTTCCTAAGCCAGAATATGCATTTTTCAGACATGAGACCTAATTTACCAACCCAGCTGAAAAGCTTTTAATTTTTTAAAAGAAAAATGAATTCAGCTTGTAATGAAGGGCTTCAATTTTGTTCTCCAAAGTGAAAAAATTAGCACTTTTAGGATACATGGGAATCTGAATTTGTCCTGCAACAAGTCTCTTGTTTTATGTTCAGTTTGTCTTGCATTTTTGTACAGAGAAAACATTTTAGACCATATGCACAAGAAACTATCAGGACATTGCTACTGCCTGCAAGATCTTGCCATAAACTGGATCCAGGCAGCTATTGAGCACCTGTGGGAGAAATCCCAGGTGAAAAGTCCTGACACTTTGGTTGGGGCAGAAGGGGAAATCCTGAGCACTGGCAGTGTTAACAAATGAAGCTTTAAACTCTGGCTGTGGGACAGCCCTCTACAATGACTTTTGCTAAACACTTGCTGTTAAACCTGCATTTCTTTGAATAAAATTTCTGAATTAAAAACTGGTTGAACATTTTTGGTTGATTCCCTTGTAGTAAATACAGATAAATCAGTATTTCCCCTCCATAAGCTGTGCTTGGTTCATTGAGGAGAAAGAAAAATAGATATTTTCAACCATTGTAACCTCTGATTCAAGCTCTTCATAGTTGTATGTACATACATGTGTTTTAATATGGATAGATGCATACTTATATTTTGAAGATCTTTCCATAGACCATGATTCTAATGAAAACAGATCTGTGAAAATTAAATAAGAGCTAAAGAATACTTCCTCTAGCCTGGAGTAAGATTTCTAGAATTTAAAGATCAGTATTCTTTCTTCCAGCCCCAACAACCTACATCTGTGCCATACATTTTTCTATTTCGAACCTTAACTGAGTTTTTCCCAACAGTTCAGCTGGTGCAAACTCTCAAAACGAAACACCAAAATGGCTTATTTTGATAGTTTTCATCAACAGATCCTGCTGTAATAGAGGCACTGCTTATGAATATGAAGTAAGGTAAAAAGCAATTTCCTAAGCTTGAAAAAATAGGTCACATAAAGGACATGAGTGCCTGGAAGGGTTGGCACACTGCTCCTCAAGACAACAAATAAAGGTCCAGTACAATTACTTTCTTTTGAGTATTGTATGAATCACTCTGTACAAAAACCCCAAAGGTAACAGTGACCACTGCACACACCTATTATGATTCTAAAGTGAATCTTTGGTCTTCAGAGAGTTAATTTATGACATAAATTCTCTATAAAGCAATTACATACATGCACAAGTATGCACAAGGACAAGGAGTAATAAATACAATGATATTTTAGTGCAGGGTAACTACAGTGGAATCAAGACCGGAAATCTTAAGGACACAGTAAAATAGCCCCGGTAATTTCTGATCTACGTGAAACATTATATCCTAAAAAAACAAGGGGCACAAATCAGGACTGTTGAAACTCAATATGGATTTTTTCACCAACATTTTACCTCCTGACACAAACTGAACTTGATCCACTGTTTTTTTCACTTTCAGCATATTCTGTGATATGTTTAAAAAAAGACTGGATGTGGCACTTGGTGCCATAGTCTAGCTGTGGTGTTAGGGCATGGGTTGGACTTGATGATCTTGATGATCTTCCAACCAGTTATTCTGTTGAATTCCAGAATATTTCAAAATCAGACTATTTGCTAGGAAAGGGTCTCTTTGTATTGAAACACAGGAATTGCATGTTTCTATCCAAAAAAATCCCAAATGTATGGTGTCCCAGGATGCTCGCTAGGGATGATGGTTTGTGTACAACAAGAGATAAACAACCCTTCGTTTCATTTCCAAACAGTTTTATAAATAGAGCTCATTTACAATCTCATAAACTTCATTCTGTCCTGAGGCCTTTCTGCAGAGCTTCATTTACACACGCACAAATTGAGCATTTAAGAGGTTTACTTTAGTTTGATAATGATCTATTAAGACTGATTATATACATATAAAAATTCAGTCTCTAGTACAAATATTCTTTCACATAAACAAAGCATCACCTCATTTCACTGCGGTCTCATTTCTGGATGGGCTATCAAGTTCATAACGTTACTCCAGGGCAAAGTGACTTGCTCTTGTAACATAGGGCTTTGGAGCTTGTACTCTTTCAAAAATACAGAGCACCAGGTCTTCAGCATTTTTGCGAAAGATTCTTCTTAACAGGGGCTACAGTTGAAATCAGGTGAGATTTTATCTGTATGTACATTATTTTATGTGAGGTAAGTATATGTGCATACATAGATGGGGGAGAACAGAGCTGAAAGGACGGTATTAGTGTCAGGGACTTACACTATCCTTGTCATTTAGAAAGGGCATTCAGCTTGTCACTGGCTATTATCTAAGCTTCTTTGTTTTCAAGTTGTAAAATATCTCAAATAGCAATTCCTGATCCCTTGCCCACATTCTTTTCTTTCAAATTCCTTCCTAGGCTTCTGCCTTACAAAATGTTATGCATCTTCCTGACCTTCCACATGCAGCAAATGGCAATCCCTCTGGCGTGCCCTCAGATTTATGACAGTGGCTTGGAAGGTGCTTTGTGCAGAACCGTGGAGGGAGTGGTTGTGGTCATTGCCACAGCATTGCTATTCCCCAGCAGGATGAGTCAGGCTGGGGATAGAAACTGGGAATGAATAGATTGAGGACAATTCAGGTTTTAGCCTTACACCAGTATCTGAGGTTGTCCAGCAGACACAGCAAGGAGGAGGTAAGAGGAACATGCCAAATAGGAACAATTGTATCCCAGACACTGGATCTGCTGTCACGGCTTCTGCAGCCACACAGAAAAAGGCTGTTATGATGGTGGTGGTTTAAATCAGCTGGAAGGAGTCCAAGGGAGCAGGGAAATTTACTGGGAAGAGATGAAGTGCTGCAAGGAAGAAAGGAGAAGGACTTCTGGAAAATCTCTCTTACCTGAAAAATACAACAAATACCATTTTATCACTGAAATTCTCTGTGATCAGTGTCCCAAAGCTATTCTTCAGCAATGGAACAGAAGAAAAGTCTGGTCACCTGCCAGTGCCCTGGTGCACTTGACAATCCTATCAACCAGTCAAACAACGAGAATATTCACCTCTCTTTAAACTGTGCCTGACTTATTTAATACAGACAGTGCAATGTCAGCAACATACGAAGTACCAGAAGAGATTAATGCTATATTGCATCCTCTCAAGTGATGAACACAAATGATCATGTTAGCCATTTTCCTCATCCCTCTGTGGCTGTTCGCAGAGCAGATCTCAGTGATTGGTTTTTCTCCGGAGAGTTCATGAAACCAACTATAACTGGAAAGACCAGAAAAAACACAAAACAATTTTAGATTTTAAGTGAAATCCAGTTTACATTTAATGCCCTAACTAACTTTTTAACCAAGCTTTTTGCACAGAATTTATTTCAGGTATGATACTTTACATTTCTGGTGCTGTGAGGAATCCACAAAAATATTTCCTTATTGGGTTAATCCATGGGTAGGTGGACATATATATGTATTTATAACCAGCACAGATAATTATGGCTAAGAATATGGAGGGAAAAAAAGGGTAAAAATAATTGAAAAATCTTATCTAGATTCACTTATCTTTTTCTTCTGAAGGACTTTATTTCAGGCATGCATTCCTAGAGAAGGTTGCAATGGTTAACTGCCAAAGAAATATCTGATCCTTTGTTAAGTGTTTAACTGAGATCTAGAATATCCTCACATGTAACACCAAGGACTGAGTCAGTCCCTGCATTCAGTTTGTTCCCACACTTAGAATGAACACCTTCTGAAGAAAGCCATAGCTCACTGCTGCCAAAGGAGTGACATGGATACAGACAACAGCAGGACTCCACTGTGGATAAATATGTCGGTGAGGCCCAATATTGCTTTCTGATCAATATACAGTTATCATTAGCTCTAAATATCAGTAAGTAGTGTCTACACTAAGTGTCTTCTTATTTCTGAGACAGACTATTTACAAGAGCATGTAGGGACAGGACAAATGGTGAATGGCACTGAAACTGGAAGAGGGCATCTTTAGATTAGATGTTAGGAAAAAATTCTTTACTGTGAGGGTGGTGAGGCACTGGAACAGGTTGCAGTGGATGTCCCATCCCTGAAAGTGTTCAAGACCAGGTTGGATGGGGCCCCGGGCAACTTGTTAGTGGAATGTATTCCTGCCCATGGTGTGGGGTTTGGAGCTAGATGAGCTCTATGATCCCTTTCAACCCAAAATGCTTATGATTATTATATGCTGACATCCAAGTTAGTTGAACACCAGTTCAAGCACTAGAGAGCCTTTCTCACAGCATTCTTTTTGCTGGAGTTAATAATGTTAGAATAAATAGAGAAAATTTCATATTTTCTTTTCTCTTTTTGGTAATAATAACTTGTTTTTTTGGTTATTCTCTATTTCTGAAAATACTGTCTGACCTCTTGGAGTACTGATAAGAAAGGACAGTCTAACTGCTTACAGCACTGAAACAGGGGGAACATAAAATAGCAAAGATGAAAACTGTAAATTGACCAACACTGAAGTTAAAGACATCTCCTCAGTACTTTACGCACAGCATATAATTGATAAAAGCCTATAAACCCAGGTATTGACCTCATTTTGTGGTTACAATCTGTAAATTAAACCCTGGTGATCAGCGGGGCGCTCAGATCCTAAACCAGCACGATCTTGACTTCTGGTCCAGCCGATTTGTTCTGACACGTTTGCTCTCGGAGGCCGGAGGCTGCCCTGGCCGTGTTTACACCGACCCTGCGACCAGGGGATGTGCGGAGCCCCGCTGCGGCCTTCCTCGCTGTGTTCCCGGGGGAGGACGGGGACTCTGAGGGCTCCCCGCGGTGCCGCCGCGTCCCCGTGGAAGGACGGGGACTCTGAGGGCTCCCCGCGGTGCCGCCGTGTCCCCGGGGAAGGACGGGGACTCTGAGGGCTCCCCGCGGTTCCGCCGTGTCCCCATGGAAGGACGGGGACTCTGAGGGCTCCCCGCGGTGCCGCCGTGTCCCCGTGGAAGGACGGGGACTCTGAGGGCTCCCCGCGGTGCCGCCGTGTCCCCGGGGAAGGACGGGGACTCTG